TCTAGAAAAGTGTTACACACACACACACACACACACACACACACAGGCACACACACACTTAGACTGGGTCTCATTATGTATGTAGCTCTTGCTGTTCTGGAACTCACTACGTAGACCACCTGCCTCTTCCTCCCCAGTGCTGCAATTAACACCAGGTCCAGTTAGTGTTCCATAACTAAAAGGCAACTCTGACTATTAATGATGAGGGCACTGATAACAACAATTGGTAAGTAGCTACCTGCCAATAAAACACACGATAGCAGCAAAGTTCACAAAACAAAATTACACAAATGAGGCTTGATGGCAAAAAAAAAAAAAGACACAGTTGGTGAGATGGATTGGTAAATATGACCAAGATACATTGAAATACATTGCACCAAATTCTCAAAAAGAAAAAAGAAAAAAATTAAGCAAAAACTAGTAATCCTGATATTTAAAAAAAATTGCAAGAAACAGATAAAATCATAATTTGAAATAAGAGGAAAAACTATTTCTCTAAGGTATTCTTTTTAAAGCCTTTATGTGTATGAGTGTTTTGTCTGTGTCTATGTAGGTGTACCAGGGGCATACCTGGTACCCTCAGAAATCAGAAGAGAATGTTGGCTCCCCTGAAACTTGTATTATAAATGTCTGTGAGCCATCATTTAGGTGCTAGAACCACACTCAGGTCCCTCTACAAGAGGAGCAAGTGCTCTTGATCACCGAGCATCTTTCTAGCCTGTATTTTTAAATTATTTAAAAATATTTATATGGCAGACACGCAGAGTGGAGAAAGCCTTTGATTCCAGCACTTTGGAAGCAGAGGCAACACATCTGTGTGTGCCAATTAGCTTGGTCTACATATGGTTGGTTCCAGGGGAGGCAGGGCAACAGAATAAGACTTTAAAAAGATTAAGTCTTTAAAAAGAAAAGAAACTATGCAATTAACTTACAACTTTATACAAACAAAAATTTGACTACTTCTTACATGTATATTCTAGCCAAAAAGGCTACCTATTACCTATGTCTACTGCAAGCAGGCTCCCTGGCAGGATTCCTCCTCCCCACTCCCAGCATGGTATCTTAACTTCATCCACATCCTCTCCCATTTGCTCTTGGCAACCTCACAGGCATCTCAGACTCGAGACATCTACACTATGGGATGCCTCTCATAGAGGTTCCTTGATCTTCACCCTGGTCTCTCCTCCATCTTATGTGGCATTCTCTATTTCCTGGTCACCTGGTGCTAAAGTGACCAGGTATCTTCTGTCTGGTATCACAGACATCCTCACTTGTAGCAAAATGTCTCTATTATTACACTGCGAGAAAAGTTCTAGTGCTTTCCAATTATTCCAAAAGGCTCTGAAATTCTACAAACCAGCTATGTTACACAACTTCATAATTTATGCTGTAAATAAATGGCAGCCTAGTTACCAGAGAAAAAGACTTCCATGAAATGGCCCTGGACCTTTAACCACTGATTATACATTCAATGGAAAACTGTGTTCAGTTTTAAAAATGTCCTCCTGAAATGTAATTATTGTAAATTGGAGCCTGTCCATTCCTGAGTACTCTAATCAAGAACATTTAATAAATGGTAGAGGCTAGAACTTACAAATAACGGTCAGGAAATACAGATACATTAAAAAGGGACAAAGTAAGCTTTATTTAAAAAGTTACTCAAAACAAAGAACAAAGAAACTGTTGTAAAAACTTATTACACATATTACTTCAATTATCTCCTATTTTTAAAACTAAAATGCCAAGAGATCAAAAAGTAAGTTGAGTAATAATTTTAAAGGGAGAACCTGCTGACAAAGCACAAAATGAATGCAACGTCAAACCTTACAGCTTCATTTGTAGACTGCTAAATCACAATATAAGCTACGTAAAATATATATATCATACCACTGAAGTCTTTTAAGATCAAAGTAAAAGCCCCATCATACAGATTTTTCTAAACTGCAAACATACAATTCTATTTCTGTCAAATGTCTTTAAGACAGGGTTCCAGTTTGGGGGACATGAAGAAACTCTTACTATTTACTACACATACTGTGGCACTATTTATTTTTCCTTCCATTAAATGTACTATTAGCTATGAAATGAAAACAATGGGAATACTAGGGATCTGGAGGACTTAACAAAAAGAGCAAGCATTAATAAAAATGCTCCAGTTCCCCCCCCCCAAAAAAAACCTTCATTTCAGTCACAAAGAATGTAAGAAAATAAAGAGTTTTGTTTGTTTTTTACTATAATCATCCCCCACCCTGAAATCACAAGTTAGGCAAAAAGAACCTAACAGTGAGAACTCAGGAGTGAGTGCAGAAGAAATTACTATTATCATCTTTTATAGGTGAATGTGTGTCTTACATGCAGAGGACGAAGGACAGCCCGAGTCATCCATCCTGACCATCCACCTTGTTTGAGACAGAATCTCTTTGGTTATTTTCCACTACTTGTACCAGGCTAGCAACCCTAGAAACCTGCAGGGTTTACTGTGTCTATGCTTCCCATCTTCCACAAGAGCTCAGGGATTACACACACTGATGCTTTTGCAAGGTCTAAGGATTCAAACCCAGGCCCTTATGCTTGCAGAGCAAGCACTTTCACCCCGAGCCACCTCCCGGCTATGTTACCACTTTCTGATGCATCTTCAACTCCTCAAATATCTTCATGCAGTGGTTCTCAACACATGGTTTCCCAACCAGCAGTTATCAGCAAACTTGTTAAAACTGATAACTAGACAGGCATGTTGGCACACATCTTTAATCTCAACACTTTGCCAGCCTGGTCTACACAGTAAGACCCTGTCTCAAAAAAAAACTTGAAAACTAACAAGCTTGTTCCACACCCACTCAATCTGAGAGAGAGTGGTAGAAACAGGGCAGGGATAGCAGACACCTAGACGGGTCTGAGATTGAGAACCCATAGTAAGGCATTGCACAATAATACTTCTTATAAGTATCCCCATGTTATAAAAGAAGTTAAAATTATTACTTGGTTAAACATCCAGAATGCTTTAGAATACTACCACACGGCTAATATTCATTTTTAATGAATTAATTTAAAAAAATATAAAACTTGGGTCAAGAGGAAGGACACACATATTTTTTTTTTAATATTATACAGAGTGGTACAAAACTACAAATGTTGTATGATAGGGCCTCTCTTGAGTATATTCCCAAGAGTGGTATTGCTGGGTCCAGGGGTAGGTTGATCCCAAATTTCCTGAGAAACCGCCACACTGCTTTCCAGAGTGGTTGCACAAATTTGCATTCCCACCAGCAATGGATGAGTGTACCCCTTTCTCCACAACCTCTCCAGCAAAGGCTATCATTGGTGTTTTTTATTTTAGCCATTCTGACAGGTGGCAATGGGTTTTTGATCCTACTGCACGTACTGGCTTTGTGGGAGCCTAGGCAGTTTGGATGCTCACCTTACTAGACCTGGATGGAGGTGGGTGGTCCTTGGACTTCCCACAGGGCAGGGAACCCTGATTGCTCTTTGGGCTGACGAGGGAGGGGGACTTAATTGGGGGAGGGGGAAGTAAATGGGAGGCGGTGGCGGGGAAGGGACAGAAATCTTTAATAAATAAATAAATTATTAAAAAAACTACAAATGTGTACTAATATAGAAAAGCACTGCATTACTTGATTTATTAATAAATGTCTATATTAAAGAGTCTAAAAGCTAAAGTTCTAATCTTCCTTGCTTACCTGTTTTGCAAAATTATGGCCTAAGTGCTTGTAATTTTGGTAGCAAAGGTTTACTTTGAATGTGTTATATGGTAAACTGAAATGGATTTACTAGACAAACCTTATCCTGAACATCTACTTGCCAGGTATTTAAACATGGACATCAAATATAGATGAATCTCAAATTGTATCAATTCAAAACTGATTCATGTTGACCCACTCACCTCCCAGACCGTGGCACAGAATTGCCTATGGCAAAGCAGAACATTTTTTCTTATTTCTCCTTTACCTGCCACACCTCAATCAATCACAAAAGCAGGTCCTTTGACTTCCAGAATAGTTCCTGATCCATCCTACCCACTACATTGGCACAGGCCTCCAGCATGTCCACCTGGGTTAATGGTTCTACTTCTTACCCAGTTAATTCTGTTCCCTCCATAAAGAATCAACTTTTTCCACAATAGGTCTAATCCCATAGTGTCTCTCCACCACTTAAATTCCTCAAGGGCTCCTGGTGGCCTTCAGAATAAAGCATGAAATTATAATAGCTTTAATCCATCAATTTCTCTCTTCTAATGCAAATCTCTTACTACCTAAGCAACTCTAAGTATACTGAATTTTGGTCATGGAAAACAGTATTCTTTCTTGCTCTACTTGGTAACCTCTCTGACCGCTTTCTTCACTGGGTTAATCTCGATGTTTTATGATAAAAGAATTTTTGTTGTTGGCGTTGTTCAGTTTTGGTTTTGACACATGACCCTTACAATGCATCCCTGGCCAGCCTAGAATTCACAGAAAGCTGCCTGCTTCTGCTGCTTGGGCATCGAGACGTGTTTGCTACTACGCCCAGAATGATAGTTGTAGCGTCTCTTTTATTTTTCATAAAGTCACCACATACACACAAAAGTGCTATTGAGGACAGCACTTAGCATACTGCATAGCAATCATGCGTCTTCTTCTAGATTCAAGTTTTACTAAGAATAGGAATCATATCTAATTTTTCATAATTATACTTCTAGTGTCTAGGCAGCAACAAAGCATAAAATTAAAAACTTCAGCTCAAGTTAAAAAGACTTACAACATGTCATAAGACATGAGAATTCTGGAAAATTACTTGAGCTCTCTCTTCCTATTTTTCCTCTTGTATAATTTAAATAAGACAGTACAATCTTATAAGACTTAAGAAATAAACATTATTTGTGACATATGATGCATTTAACATGATGCTCAGTACCCAGAAAGTTGGCTGCTTATCCTGTTACAATATCAAAGAAAATATTTGCAGAATAAATACACTTTATTCAAATCACCAATAAGCATTTTAATAATTCTAACATCACATAATTTATTATGTTTCCAAGTAATGTATATAAATCTATAGGAAGGGTTGAACTTTATGTCCACATGGCACTACAGAGCTTTTTACAGTCAATATTTAGTTGAGTTATAAAGCAGAATGTTCAAAGAGAATGACCTGTGCCTCGTTATCAGGAACAATTTGTTTAAGTTCAATCTGCTGCAAACCAGGACTTTCCAAAGAATTTGGGGAGGTATTACAAATTGAGATAGGTACATTATACCTTGCTGATTGATAAAAGCTGTAATACTCAAGTCTATTTTCCACTGAGTTTTCTAGAGCCTTTAACTTTTGTTTAAACTGAATAACTTTGTAGATCAAAAAAAAGATTAAAACACAAGCTAAGATGAAAAAAGCTAGCAAAATGTCAAATGCCTCATTCAACTTCTCAACTTCTTGGGTACAAATTAGAGATATCTTTCCTGACACAGAAGAGGCATCAGTTGGTAGAGCACTGGTTTTTTCCAAGTTCAAGTTAACAGGAGTAAGCTGTATTTGTACAGGTAAAACTGTGGTCGTCTCTAATGCATTACCAAATGTATTCTCTTGAAAAAACCTAGTGGCAGATGAAGCACGAATCCGCTCCCAGACGGTAATGCTCTCGGTCACAGTGTTTTCCAAATGATTTCCACTTGCAGTTACTTTATGCCAGGCCATCATTAGTGCAGTGGTCTCGTGATGAATATGAAGAGATTTTACAGCCCAAGCTCTGGATATATTTGTCGAAGGTAAAGTGCAATTTGTAATGTCAGTCCATTTAATATAACATAATGCTGTGCCCCACATAGATAGGGGATTCTGACAACAGATGTTTACAGCAATGGCTGAAGAGGCTAGCCAGTCTCGAAGACCCAAAAGTTTGCGTTCACAAAATTGGAATTTCCCTGAAGATGAATCAATGAAGATAATGGCTTAGGGGCCCTTGGATGTAATTCTGTAAGATTATTAAATGACAGATTAAGGATCTTCAAAGGTGCTCCCATATTTTAAATGTATCATTATCAATGTTTCAATTGTTTCTAACTCAAAATAATTTCCTTAACAAGCTAAATGCATCATGTCCAAATTTTCTAAATAGTTACCAATTAAGATTAAATGTTTAAGACTATTAATTTTACTAAATCAATCCCTACTAACAATATAATCCTTACCATGCTTTGGGGGGATACTTTACATGGATAACTCTTTTAAATGCAAAGAACTATCATTTTTCAAAAGGTCAGCAAGATAAGACAGTCTCAGAAGATTTGTAAGTACATTTAATGGTACTTTTGTTAAATTATTACTTTCTAGATACAAATAATCAAGGAATACAAGATACTAAAACTCTGAGATCGCCATTCTTAATTTTTGTTGTTCAAAGAATCAAGAATCTGGGGCCTCTGCACCACTGCTAAGCACAGAGAAGCAAGACCTCTATAGGCGTAGACACTGAGACAAACCAGATCATTCAGCAAGCTTCTTCAAACAAAAACACACAGTTAGACTATAAATATAATTCAAGGAGGATCTGACAGTCCCTTAAATATTTCAGGCTCTAAGCATTTTATAAAACTGTTTAGAGACAGAACATATAAATGACCTAACAAAGCCTTTTAGATATTCATGCACAATATTAGAGTTATCCAAATACAATGTTGCAAAAGAATTAAGTGCTATAAGTTCACCTTCACTTATATGAGACATTATTCCCAATAAGATTCAGAAAAACTGTACTTTCAGTAAAGTTCTAAGGAGTATGAAAGGCCTGTGCTTCTCTCTCTCTCTCTCAAGAAGAGCTGGTAAGGAAACACACACCCTAGTAATCCTTTATACAATAACAATACAAAAAAGCAGGTAACAACCAGAAAGAAATGTAGGCAAAGCAGAGAAAATGATATACATATGTAAGCAAACCTAGTATCTTTTTTCATATCAGAATTAACTCCAAAGACAAAACTTTAAATTATCAAGGTTTTAAAACAAAAGTATCAAAATACTCAAACTTCAGTAATCTATTTAAACTAGGGGTAGCTAAGAACACAGGTTAACTCAGACTAAGAGTGAAAGTATTCTACAAAGAACATTTGGAATAGAATGCAAGCACTGCAATGAAACCCACTCTTTAGCAAAGATAATTCAAACTCCATAAACTGAAAAATGCTTGCAATAATTAACTATTACAATCAGCTACAACAGATGATATGAAACAGAGGTTTGGAATACATGCCCCGTAATCTACATAAAACCTAACAGCAAAGACCAACTTTATGAAAATATGAGCACTGTATAAAAATCAAGCTATTATATTCCACAAAATTCATTTCAGCTACAAGTCTGTACTTAAATAATCTTACCAAGAAAAAGAAAATCATATCACCACTTGTCTTTCTTAAGCAAAAACTTTTGTTTTAACTTTGAAGAGCGCCGTTCTTTAGCTCAGTTTCTTTCTGGGCCACTGCTGACCTCCACTGCACCACCTCTTTTGAATTTTAAAGTCACAGCTTGCTCAGGAAACGCCACTCTTCACACTGGTTCCTCTACAGTCAGTGTGTAAAACGGGGTTGCCATGGATACAGGAAACTGAGAGACAGGAAGTAAGTTTATCTGTGCTTCAAAAGTATTGTTAAAAGGAAATCTTAGGAACCTATTTTTTTTTCCAGAATGCATTCAGTTTTCCTAATATATGCCTAAATAGCTCGTACAACTTGAAAGATATTTTTAAAGCCAGATACTTGAAAACTTGAGGTATTCAAAATATAAATAAGAAGTCTTTAGTTATCAACAACACGTCGTGTGTGTATGCATATGCATGCATACACTGCATTGTGTAGGAAGGCCAGAAATTGACATCAGTGCCCTCCTCTTTTATTCTCCAACCTACTTTTTAAGCCAGGTTCTCATACTGAACTCCTGAGATAAAGTCCACTTCTCAGAGATAGGAGAACAGGCCGTACCACCACACCTGGATTTTTAGGATGGATGTTTGGGGTCTGAACTCAGGGTCTCACACTTGCAAGGCAAGCAAGCACATTACTGACAGAGATATTTCCAGCTCAACAACACAAATTACTACATAACAAAAAGCACAATGAAATAAAAGTATATAAAATAATATGATTGTCTTCTTTTTTTATTTGTTTTTCAACAGGGTCTCAATATATAGCCTTGGCCAGCCTAAACTCTCTATGTAGACCAGGCTTGCCTTGAACTCATAGAGAGTTGCCTGCCACTGCCTCCGGAGCCTGGGATTAAAGGCATGTGCCACCACATCAAGAATGTTTAAATGCATTAACATTTTTATTTTCAAACACTTATTGAAGATTTATTCACTTAAAAACAGTACATAAAATCAACCAATAATTTAGAAGAATACAAAGTATTAATACATTATCTGCTGAGATTTTCTGTTACTGAAAAAAACTATGTACAGACTACTATCAATTAGATATTAAGGCATAAGCCCTGGGTTGGGGGATAATATAAAGTTCCTTACCAAACTATTAATAGAAGTTTATCTTTGCATAAAGAGCTAGGGAGAAGAGTAGGTAAAATGCTCACCATACAAGCATTATGACCTGCGTTGGGATCACTAGCACGCATGTAGAAAAGCTGAGTGTGGCTGCATTACCTACAACCCTGGTATTAGTAAGGCAGGGACAGGAGGTAATCCCTGAGGCGTGCTGGCCTCCCATTCTCCTGAATGAGTCCTCTGCAGGGCTAGTGGAGAGACTGAGAAACAAGTCCACAGCTGAACTCTGGTGTTCATACATGTACACAGGTACACAGACAGGTATGCACACACAGAGTTGGAAAGAGTTACTTTTCATACTATAGAAATGTCTGAATTCATTTAAATACTTTAGTTTTAAAATGGAATCTGAATCTAATAAAATTTTTATTTAAATGAAGATTTAGGGGTCAGCCAGACAACTCAGCAAATGAAAGTGCTTGGCATACTAGTCTCATAACTTGAACTGGTTTCCGGAATCCATGGGAAAAAAAAAACCCAGGCACAGTGTATCCATCCCTAATCTCAGTACTTCCATAGAGAGATGGAGATGGAAACTAGAGAATCATCTAGAATCTTTCAAGCCAGCTAACTTGAAGTATACAGCATGTCAGGAAAAAAAAAAAACTCCGACTTAACAAAGTGAAAAGAGAGAACTAACTCTCAAAACTGTCTTGTGACCTTAATATATATGCTATATAAAACACACACATATCCCCTTACACAAGTAAATAAATAAAATAGAGTTGAATGAAATTTTTATATATTGTTTAGTCATTGATTTCTGGCTTTTAACCAATTTTTTTTAGTATTATCAGTAAAATACAAAGTAACAGGGAGCACTATACACTCTATTTTCAATTAAATCACACAGATCAAGTAGGAAAGAATTACAGGACAAGTCTATTAAATTCAGAATAAAGAAATAGGAGAAACACAAGATCAGAACACATTAGTTCCCCTCTCCTCTGTTACCTGTCCACTTCAATGGTTTCTCTGTGCTGCCTTAACTATGAATTTTAGGGGTGAAGAGTGCCACTTGTTTAGTCAATTCGCTTTCAGTAACTACAAATAGCCTTTATGAAATTATATAAAATTATTGAATTCTACCAAAAGAAATGTGTTCTTTTTTTTTTTTTTAAAGAAATATTTATTTATTATGTATACAATATTCTGTTTGTGTGTATGTCTCCAGGCCAGAAGAGGGCACCAGACCTCATTACAGATGGTTGTGAGCCACCATGTGGTTGCTGGGAATTGAACTCAGGACCTTTGGAAGAGCAGGCGATGCTCTTAACCACTGAGCCATCTCTCCAGCCCAAGAAATGTGTTCTTAAATTAGTACAGCATTACAATTTTTAATTTTTCTTCCAAATAGCAACATGCCCTTTATAGAACATTCCTTACAAATACAATCCCTAAGTTAAAACTTTAAACAAAATGTACACTGAAAGAAAACAACTCTATCGGTGTCTGCACAAACTGAATGAAACTCAGCTAGACAGAAAAACCAATAAACCAGGGGCAGGAAGATGGCAGAGCAGGTAGAGGCATCTGCCACCAAAGCTGACATTCAGTTCACAGGACCCATACTGTTGAAGAAGAGAAACCAATTTCCAAGCTGTCCTCTCATATCTACGCACCTGCCGTGGCACACACACTGGGCCAAAAAATAATAATTTATTAAAAACCTAATAGAATACATAGTGCCTTTATAAATACCAAATCCAACATTACTGTTTGCTTGCACAGGCACGGAGTATTTCAATGTCCCTTTGAAAATGACATCGCCAGGCAGCAGAAAGTTTGATGATGCAAAAATAATACTATGCACTCAATAATTTAAACATGTTTCTTTTGGTAGAATACTTATTTTAAAAAATGAGCATTAAATCTATGTATTTTCCATTCTGAACCCAAATATAGCAGCATAAACAGTAACATTAATGTAAACAAGAAATTTCCACTAGCTCCTTATCATGAACTGCTTAACACAATTAATATATAGGAAAAATGCACCAAAGTATATATGTTTACAAATGATTTTCATGGCATTCAAAAGAGTCAATCAGTACACAACAATCAATCAACTATAAGTCAGAAGTCTTTGTATCAGGTAAGCTCCTCAAGAAAGGAATAGCTCAGCAGAACATCTAAAAACATGCTTCCACTACCAAGAGTGAAAAGGTCTCCATAAAATGATGTCTAGAGGCAGATGGCATCTAGGGGAAGGTGATAAGACCACAAGGGACACTACCCTTGGAAGATATAAATGTAGTTTTTTGGGGACACCAATTAGTTCCCATGAGATTAAGCTGCTATAAAGAACAAGCTGAAGGAGCTGGATGCTTAGATCAGTGTAGAACACTTTATCCAGCATGTTTGAGGGCCAGGATTTCAGCCCCAAGGACAGAAAGAAAAGAAGAGAAAGAGAGAGAGAATCTTGCCTCAAAATCTTTCTCTTACACTTACGGTGGTGGCGCACGCCTTTAATCCCAGCACTCGGGAGGCAGAGGCAGGCGGATCTCTGGGAGTTCGAGGCCAGCCTGGTCTACAAAGGGAGTTCCAGGACAGGCTCCAAAGCTACAGAGAAACCCTGTCTCGAAAAACAAAACAAAAAACAAAAAAAAAAATGGATTTATGAATAAAATACTACAAAAGACTCATTTTACTTCAAAAAATGAAAATGAAGCAACATCTTCAAGAACATTATATACTTGCATGAAAATGGCCTTACATCCGTAGTAAAATCTAAAACAAAAATAAATGCATTTTTTATCTTTTTTATTTATTTGTTTATTTTTGGATTTTCGAGACAGGGTTTCTCTGTAGCTTTTGGTTCCTGTCCTGGAACTAGCTCTTGTAGACCAGGCTGGCCTCGAACTCACAGAGATCCGCCTGCCTCTGCTTCCCGAGTGCTGGGATTAAAGGCGTGTGCCACCACCGCCCGGCTAATAAATGCATTTTTTTAAAGATGAAAATTTAAGTCTACTATGCCAATTATTCACTTAGGAACAATGAGGTCAGTCAAATCATAAGTCATAAGGCAGGAGACAGAAAGAGGAGAGTCTTCAAGATTTTGAACTTCTAGCCTCCTACCCTGTGAGCCCATCAGAGCCTGCTTTTTTTTATAAAGCACCTATCCTTGTTGCCTTTTTCTTAATTAGACAACAAAATATTGCTCTTTGGAACCTACTTTTTTAACTGAAAATACTAGTCTAATGCTGTAAAATATTATATTTTAAGGTGTATTACTTTTGTCTATGCTCTGGAACATTTGTTTAATGATACAAAGATGTGTTTAATTAAATAAAATTCACCTGCAGTCAGAAGGCTGAGTCAGCAACTATTTGACAGAAAGTGGCAGGGAGGAGCCAGGTAGAAAAAGATTGTCAAGGAGGGATGAGGAGAAGCACAGGGGCCTCTGGAGGCATGCATGAGGGAGAGAAGGTGAGCTAGGTGAGTTAGGTGAGCTACCTGCTCTTTGGCCTCTCTGAGGAGCAGAATTTCACCTCAACATTTGAATCTTGAGTTCTTTAGAGGGACAGAGATTAAGATTAAACTCCCTTAGTAGCTTCCAAAGATTCAGTGCCTAAGAGAACAGAATTCCCTCAGGCTGCGGTTACCATGGAGTTGCAGCTGCTGATAGGACAGTCATGGATTAAAAGGCAGCAATGATTTAAAAAGAAAACAACAGTCTAATGTATTAAAAAAATCACTCAAACATCCGGGGGTGGTGTCATACACTTGGACTTGCAGGAGGCAAGAGGAGGAAGTGGAGGATCAATGGCAGCCTGGTCCACATACTGAGTTTGAGGCCAGCTAGTGCAACACAGTCAGACATTGCCTTCAAACAAATGAATATATGAAGGGAAAAAAGTAAAAAAAATAACAAAAGCTTTAAGAAGTTCATAAAAATATATAATGACTTGGAAAATTCATAAAATTAAATTCCCAAATAAAACACTGCATACACTATTTTTGCGAAAAGTATAGTTAAAAGTATGCCCAATCAAAGCATAGTAAATCTGATTTTCAGAAAATCTGATTATAAAACATTCTCTAAGAAAGCGAAACACATACGCACACATTTTGTGGCTTTACTAATACCAGTTGATATCACTCAACTACCTTACTTTTTTTTTTAATTTTGGACAGGGTTTGTCAGTAGTTTTTGAGCCTGTCCTGAAAACTAGCTCCTGTAGACCAAGCTGGCCTCGAACCCACAGAGATCCGCTGCCTCTGCCTCCTCCTGAGTGCAGGGCTTGCACCACCATTGCCCGGTGGAAATTCAAATTCATTTTTTTTTAATGATTTATTTATTATGTATACAGTGTTCTGCCTGCATGTATGTCTGCAGGCCAGAAGAGGGCATCAGGTCTCATTATGAATGGCTATGAGCCACCATGTGGTTGCTGGGAATTGAACTCAGGACCTCTGGAAGAGCAACCAGTACTCTTAACCTCTGAGCCATCTCTCCAGCCCCAAAATTCAAATTTTTAAAGCACTTCATCATCTCAAAGAACACGTCTGTGTGAAGCTCTTAAAAACATATATATTAAATATTTCTGAAGTTCGAAAATGGATCACAAATTTAGAAAGCAAACACCAGAAGATGTCTATCATTTATTTCTACAAGTTATAGTTTTAGTTTATCCTATGCCTTTTAAATAAATTTATTTTGAAAGCATTAAAAGAAAGTATATGTAAATAAGCCCAGAGATTATTTTCATTAAAAATAATCAGCTGAGCAGGGCGGTGGTGGCGCACGCCTTTAATCCCAGCACTCGGGAGGCAGAGAAACCCTGTCTCGAAAAACCAAAAGAAAATAATCAGCTGAGAGTAATATTACTCTCTATGTGTAAATAATAAAGACTTTTAAAAAGACAGAGAAATTCAAACTGAACATCCAGAATTTGAAAATTATTTTAGCTACGAAACTGTTAAAATAGAAGGGACACAGGAAGTTGTACTGAACAACTGCAAAAAAAAAAACCAAAAATAAAACAGTGGACTCATGCCATTAATTCATTATTAGGCAATGATTCTTTAGAAATTCCCTAAACTATAAAGATCTAGGATATTAAAATCATCTTTCTCATACATTATCAAGTCTACAGAACTGCTTTTATGACTTTAAAAATTCAAACTAAATATGGGAGTGGGCGTTTCCTTGTAGAATTGCTTCAACAGTGAAGATAGCCAAAAAAACAAAAACAAAACACAAACAAACAAACAAAAAACCCCTGAGAACTTGCCATCTGCGCTTAACACTCAACTTTGGGCTCAGCAAGCATGCATCTTGGACACTCAAAGACACCTGAATAATTATTTTATTATTTACTCCTTTGTTCCTTTATGGTATTCTTGCTATAACCCTGGCTGCCTTAGCCTCCAGAATGCTGGGATTATAGGTATAACAGACCACACCAAACTATGCTTTAAAAGAAACCAGCTTTAGGTTGGAAAGATGGCTCAGTGTTTAATAGCACAAGCTGCTCTTCCAGAGGACCTGGATTCCTAGAACCCACACCCTCTTCTGGCCTCCAAGAGTATCACACACATGATGCACAGACACATACGCAGGCAAAATGATCATAAACATAAATATATAATATATATGTGCATATATATCCATGTGTGTATGTGTGTGTGTGAAAGAAAGAAAAGGAGAACGGACCTGCCATTCTTTACCTGTTATCAGAAGGCAGAAGCGAGAGCAAAGCCAAGGCTGAAAGCTTCTTCCTTTCAGGCTGCGTAATGTTGTCCAATCGATCAACCCACATTTCAATCACATTTCCTAAAAGCTGGTCCATCTGGAAGAAAAAAAACATCTCAATATTTGAAATGTTATTTACACATAAGTAAGTGCTGCTAACATCTAAAACCTAAGACATGGTTAAAGTTCAATTACACAAACACAAAACTGATGGAATTTGAGACAAGCTTTGTTCTGGAGAATAAGAAAAACCAAAATTGACTCCAGCTGATCATGAGAGACAAATAAATGTATTAAAAACCTCTATGTAGCCAATGAGTAACATTATTTAATAAATCAATAAAGGCCATTTTTCCTGGAACACTGGAAAAAGGACACATGTTTGTATTTAAATGATAGTTGATTTTTTTTTTTCAGTTGAATGATTACTCTTTAGTGTTCTGTAATTTGCCAGTCTGATTTGCTAAAGCTCCTCTCAAAGAACCAGACTAGCAGCAATCCCAACAGGCTGAATCTCAAAAAAAAAAAAAAAAAAAAGAAGAAGAAGAAGTAAATGATTCCCCGTAACAGCTAGAAAAACACTAAAGGTACACTAAGCACAAAGTACAGAATGGCAGGGATGACTGGATCAGGGTGCTGACTAAGCCAGGCAAAGATGCTCCTGGCGTGCCCCAACACTAGGGTAGATACTGCTGAGAAAGGGGCTTGTAGAGTTAAAATTCACAGTGAGCTGCCCATTGACAGACGCCCCTCTCTCTCCAGTAAAGATCAAGAAAACTGATCATGTACATTAAATGATTTATTTTATTGGGTTTATTTATAAATACTTTTATAGTTCTATCACCTTTAGAGAAATAAATATTTAATGTCAAACCTCTACCTTAAAAATCCAGTCACATAAAATCAACCTTAGATTCCATTCTTCTCTACTATAAGATCCTAGTTAACAGTCACACTTTCTAACAGGCAAGCAGTTAATAGTTTAAAATCTTTTTACATTTGAGCTCCCTATGTTTTAAACCTGAGATGGTACAGTGAACTCAAGGAACATTTAAAATTATTGAAACAGCAACATTTCACAAGGTGCTTCAAGAACTCAGCTCAGCTCAGTTCCTAGTTCTAGCATTGCAATCCTCTTCTTAATGCCCATGCTTAAAGTACAACCCAGAGTCAGGTGGAACAGGAAATTAAGGCGCATATATCTTACACAATATTATCATTTAAAAATTTGAGACTTATCCAACAGGCAAACTTTACTTCCATTTGTCAGCAATTTTACACTTAAAAGTGGAATTAAACACGACATTGGATTTCTATGTATTTTTAAAAGATTTTTACCCATGTAGGCATGCATGTGTCTGTGTGGGGGTTTGTGTACATGTATGCCAGGAAAGGGTCCTGGATTCCCCAGAGTTGGAGTTATAGACAGTTGTGAGCCACTAGTGTGGGTGATGGAAACTGAACTCAGGTCCTCAGCAAGAACAGTATGCATTCTTAACCACTGAGCCAACTCTCTAGGCCTTGTATGTTATTTTTAATAGTTACTAAAGTATTAGGACATGAATTCATATGATTTTGTTTAAACCTAATCACTTCCTAACTAGGACAGTTGGGATGGTTTTAGTCTAGAGCACTGTAAGACTATTACTATGGCATTGGATCCAGACAGTCTGGTTTATAACTACCATGTCTTCATATCTAATTTGGAAAAAAATGGTCCAAATGCTGTGAAGATGTTTACAGGAATATATGGTAAGCAAAATTTAAAAAGCAAATCACACTATTGTAAAAGTAACTATGAGTCTTAGTTTTCAAGTATAATTAATAGGCCAGGTGTAGTGGCTCACGCCCATAGTCTTGCACTTGAGAGTTGAGGCAGTAGAGTTGTGCATTTGAGACTAGACTAGCCTACGAATTTGTTAGTCGTCCACAGAGCAAGACATTATTTCAAAAACAAATAATGAAAAGATAAAGTAACTGATAAAAATGAGGCTAACTTGATAGACCAAATTTAATAAAAATTGAATCAGCAAACCCAAATATTTCAATGTAATTTTATTTAAACACATTCTATTTATTATAAAATATTTAATAAACACCAACTTTAATAGTCAACTGCACAGCAGGGAGCTTACTCAATAAGCAATTTGGATATGAGGAGTCAGCAACTTTTTCTAGTAAAGGGTGAAGTAACATACATTTCAGCTTTGTGGGGCACTGTAGCCCCTGTCACAATTACTCAATTCCCCCATGTCACCAGGATAGCCAGGATACAATTCATACCCCTGAGAAGCTAGGTAACAAGGGGAGCCTAAGAGAGACAGGCATGGATGCCCCTGGGAAGGAGAAATAGATAAGATCTCCAAAGTAAACTGAAATGTATGGGGAGGGGGTGAAGAGGAGGTAACAGAAGAACATGAAAGAACAGGAAGGTTGAATTGGGGGAGGGATAGAGAGGGAGAGCAATGAAAGAGCTATCTTGATAGAGGGAGCCTTTATGGGGTTATGGAGAAATCTGGTGCTAGGGAAACTCCTAGGGGAGGATGATCCCAGCTAAGACTCCTGGCAATAGTGGAGAGGGTGCCTGAACTGCCCATTTCCTGTAATTAGATTGGTGATCACCCCAATAGTCATCACAGAACCTTCATCCAGTACCTGATGGTAGCAGATGCAGAGATCCACAGCTAAGCACTGGGCTGAGCTCCAAGAGTTCATTTAAAGAGAGGAAGGAGGGATTATACTAGCAAAAAGGGTCAAGATCGTGATGGGAAAACCCACAGAGACAGTTGACCCGAGATAGGGAAGCTCGCTGACTCTGGAATGAGAGCTGGGAAACCTAACTAGGACTGAACTATGCCTTCTGAATGTGGGTAACAGTTCTGTCGCTTAGGCAATCTGTGGGTCCACTAGCAGTGGGACCAGGATTTATCCCTAGTGCATGAACTGGCTTTTTGGAGTACATTCCTTATGGATGGCTACCTTGCTCAGCCTTGATACAGGGGGAGGGGCTTGGTCCTGTCTCAACTTGATATTGCAGACTCTGCTGATTCCCCAGAAAAGTCTCACCATTTCTGAGGAGTGGATAGGGGGAGAAAAGTGAGTGGAAGAAGGAGGAGGGGAGGCCGAGGGAACTGTGGTTAGTAGGTAAAATGAAAACAAAAACTTTTAAATAAAAAATTTAAATATGCAGTCTTATATAATTTTTTTTAATTTAAGTATGCAGATTCTTACCTCCTGATTAAATTCACGGCCCATCTCATTTAGAAGTGAAGAAAAGAAACTGGCATTTTGTAGTAACACTCGACCCATAACAGCAAGATAGACGGACATCACTACTGGATACCTCTGCACAATTAAAATACCAGGCATATAAAATCATGTTAAAAAATGGGTATACCTGAAAAAAAAATCAATAATACAGTACAAACAGAATAAAAATAACATTCTCCTTCAGGGATATAAACTGACATCCTCCTTTGTGTTGCTCTATGCAGCATCAACTATCAATATTTCTTGACTTCTTAAAAATTTTCTAAATAATTATAGACTATATGTGTGTTATATATTTATAATGTATAATTTATTTATGAATATTTATATCACTACTACTTATTGTTACACAGATTATTTAGGAGCTGAAATTAGGGACTGGACAGATAATTCACTGGGTAAATTGTCTGCTGTACAAGCATAAAGATGAGAGCTCGTTCACAAGCCACACACGCACACACACGCACACACACACGCGCGCACGTGCATACACACTCATCCTACACTAAAACAGACACAAAAATCTATACTTTTTATACAAGAAAACAAATGGCAAATTTTGTAACTATCCTCAAATTTTAACCAATTAAATATGATCCAGTAATAAACCTTTTCTTTCACAATTATCAATGAGAAAAAGATAGTTTTTCCTATGCAAAAGAAGAATAATTAAAGCTACAACCTGGAGTACAATGTTATCCCCAGAAGCTTAAAGGAATCTTACCTCGCCTTCAATAACACCTCTGAAAACATAGGGCAGAATTGGTTGAAACATCTGTGGGCCTAATACTGGATTCACTTTAAAGGTATTTTCCAAAACCTAAAACCAGAAAGACACATAGTAATATTCAACAGTACAATTCATTGTTTCATATCAAAAACAGATTAGTAAAAGTCAATAAGTAACAGAAGAAACTTGAAAGCACATGAGATATGCAATTTTCTGACACTAGACAAACTTCCACAAAATAATCTATTAAAAATTATAATTTGATATAAAATAAACAGGTTTTAGGTACAGCAATACACTTTACAATCACATTTAATCATACTCTCGTAACACATGTAGTTTAAGAAGTTCTGACCACTGCATTATAAACACACATCCTTAAAATGCCCCACAAACAAATGCAGCAAAAGACATCTCAATCACTCTTCTGTAGTGGTGTTGAGTTTTGTTATATTTAGCTCTGATTGGTTTGTTTTTGTTTCTCTGGCTCTTTGAGACAGGATCTTGCTATGTAGGCCAAGACACCTTCAAATTATTGATTCTGCCTCTGCCTCTTGAATATTAGAATTAACAGATGTGTCTCATCACACCCAACCAAAAAAAGGTTTTTTTTTTAGTGGAAAAACTGGTTATGATACCATTACTGCTAAAAATGAATCAACCTTATTTATGGCTAGAAACCAATTATGAGTGAGTACATCCCATATTCATCTTTTTGGGTCTGGGACACCTCACTCAGGATAGTGTTTTCTATTTCCATCCATTTGCATGCAAAATTCGAGAAGTCATTGTTTTTTACCGCAGCGTAGTACTCTAGCGTGTATATATTCCATACTTTCTTCATCCATTCTTCCATTGAAGGGCATCTAGGTTGTTTCCAGGTTCTGGCTATTACAAATAATACTGCTATGAGCATAGTTGAACAAATGCTTTTGTCATTTGATAGAGCATCTCTTGGGTATATTCCCAAGAGTGGTATTGCTGGGTCCAGGGGTAAGTTGATCCCGAATTTCCTGAGAAACCGAAACACTGACTTCCACAGTGGTTGCACAAGATTGCATTCCCACCAGCAATGGATGAGGGTACCCATCCACCCACTGAGACAGTGGAGCTGATCTACAGGGAGCTCACCAAGGCCAGCTGGACTGTGACCGAAAAAGCATGGGATAAAACCGGACTCTCTGAACATGGCGAACAATGAGGGCTGATGAGACACCAAGGACAATGGCAGGGGGTTTTGATCCTACTTAATGTGCTGGCTTTGTGGGAGCCTAGCCAGTTTGGATGTTCACCTTCCTAGATATGGACGGAGGGGGGAGGACCTAGGACTTAACACAGGGCAGGGAACCCGGACTGCTCTGTGGACTGGAGAGGGAGGGGGAGAGGAGTGGGGGGAGGGGGAGAAGGGTGGGAGGAGGGGGAGAAGGGTGGGAGGAGGGGAAGGGAAATGGGAGGCTGGGAGGAGGGGGAAACTTGTTTTTTGTTTATGTTTTTTTTTCTTCTTTTCGCAATAAAAAAAAAAAGAAAAAAAATGAATCTACCTTTAGATTTACCAATAAGTTATCGGGAATAATGCATATATATTTTACTTTAGTGACTCATCAAGCTCAGGAAAAGCTAAATACTAAGGGGCTAAGAAACGCCCAGAGGCACATCATACACCACTTCTTCACTTCTGCCATCTAAAAAGCACAGCAAAAGAGCAGAACCATACACCTTTGGAAAGGAGAAAGGCAAAGCTAACATAAGATGAAAGACAATAAAGACTAAAAAGGAAGAAGAAAAGAATACTGGAGGAAAGTCCACTGAAAACTCCACGTGTCCAAAGACCAATGAATATATAGAGACTATTATGTGAGACTGAGTCTAGAACTAAAGGGACACATTATATATTTATCCCACATATAAAAAAAATAACTCAGGCTCAGTAAAGTTTCAGAACACAGAATACGAGAAAGGCCACACTCTATTAAAGAAGGGGCTGAGAGGAGACATCAATGAGCCCTGGAAGACAGATTTTCAAGGATAGTAAAGTAACCAATAGCTGTTGTATCTAAAACATACAAAGCTGAAGCATCTGTCACAGGTTGACCAAAATCTATATTAAAAAAGGATCTTTGCTAATCTCCCAGAATTCAAAAGGTCGAGTTATATGGGAGACAATAATCACCACTAATTACACATCTCACTTTGAGCAGAAAAACATCTAAAATACTAAATACAGATCTAGCAAGAAACATGAATTAACTTTACCTGGATGGAGGTGAAAAAAAGTCATAAATATATTCTATCATTAATAACTCATGAGGGAAAGAGGCCCTGCTCCTATAATGAGGAAATCCATCCAGAGTGGTGAGTGAGTGGCTGCCCAGCCGAACAATCTCGGGGAATGGAGTCCAGACCCCCTCCAATTACCTAAACTTTTCTGGCCATCTAGCGGGGCATCTTCCTGGATACTGGCTTTCTTTATTTACCCTATCCCAATCACCTATGAAAAGGCACAGGATAAGAGAATGGATACAAAAACAGGATCCAACATTCTACTGTTTACAAGAAACATACCTCAACCTCAAAGACAGACACTACCTCAGAGTAAAGGGTTGGGAAAAGGTTTTCCAATCAAACAGACCTAAGAAACAAGCAAGTGTGGCAATATTAATATCTACCAAAATTTATTTCAAACTAAAATCAATCAGAAGAAATGGAGAAGGACACTTTATACTCATAACAGGAACAATTCATCAGGATGAAGTCTCAATCCTGAATATCTATGCCCCTAATTAAAAGCACCCACATATGTAAAAGAAACATTACCAGAATTCAAATCACACATCAAACCCCACACACTAATAGTAGGAGATTTCAACACTCCTCTCTCACCAATGGACAGGTCAACCAGACAGAAACTTAATAGAGAAATAACAGATTTAATGAATCAAATGTACTTAACAGGCATCTATAGAACATTCCACCCAAACAGGAAAGAATATACCTTCTTCTCAGCATCTCATGGAACCTTCTCGAAAAATGATCACACACATACACGGTAACAAAGCAAGAATCCACAGATACAAAAAAAACTGTAGTAACCACCTATGTCTTATCAGATCACCATTGAATAAAATTAGAATTTAACAACAATTCCACTCCCAGAAAGTCTACAAACTCATGGAAACTGAACAGTCAACTACTGAACCACCCCTGGGTCAAGGAAGAAATAAAGAAATTAAAGACTTCCTTGAATTCAACGAAAATAAAGACACAACATACCCAAACCTATGGGACACTATGAAAGCAGTGCTAAGAGGAAAGTACATAGCACCAAGTGCCCACATAAAGAAAACAGAGAAAGCTCACATTAGAGACTAAAAATCACACCTGAAAGCTCTAGAAAAAAAAGCAGACTCACCCAGGAGGAGTAGAAGATGGGAAATAATCAAACTGAGGGCTGAAATCAACAAAATAGAAACACATAAAACAATCCAAAGAATCAATGAAACCAAAGAGCTGGTTCTTTGAAAAAAAAAAATCAACAAGATTGACAAACCCCTATCCAAACTAATCAAAAGGCAGAGAAAGAACACTCAAATTAACAAGATCAGAAATGAAAAGGGGGATATAACAACAGACACTGAGGAAATTCAGAGAATCATTAGGTCTTACTACAAAAGCCTGTATGCCACAAAATTGAAAAATGTAAAAGAAATGGACATTTTTTTAGATAAGCACCAAATACCAAAATTAAATCAAGACCAGGTGAACAATTTAAATAGACCTATAAGTCGCGAGGAAATAGAAGCTGTCATCAAAAACCTCCCAACCCAAAAAAGCACAGGACCAGATTTTAATGCAGAAATCTACGAGAACTTCCAAGAAGAGCTAATACCTATATTCCTTAATGTGTTTCACATAATAGAAACAGAAGAATCATTGCCAAACTCTTTTTAAGAAGCTACAATTACCCTGATACCAAAATCACACAAAGACTCAACCGAGAAAGAGAATTACAGACCAAACTCACTCATGAACATCAATGAAAAATTCTCAATAAAATACTAGCAAACCGAATCCAAGAACACATCAAAAAAAAAATCATCCATTATGATCAAGTAGGCTTCATTGCAGAGATGCAGGGCTGGTTCAACATACGAAAATCTATCGATGTAATCCATCATATAAATAAACTGAAAGAAAAAAACCCATATGATCATTTCATTAGATGTCGAAAAAGCATTTGACAAAATTAAACAGCCCTTTCTGATAAAGGTCTTGGAGAGATTAGGGATACAAGGATCATACCTAAATATAATAAAAGCAATATACAGCAAGCCGACAGCTAACATCAAATTAAATGGAGAGAAACTCAAAGCCATTCCACTAAAATCAGGAACAAGACAAGGCTGCCCACACTCTCCATATCTCTTCAATATAGTGCTTGAAGTTCTAGCAATAGCAATAAGACAACATAATGGGATCAAGGGATTTCAATTGAAAAGAAAGAAGTCAAACTTTCGTTATTTGCAGATGATATTATAATGTACATAAGTGGCCCCAAAAACTCTACCAGTGAACTCCTTCAGCTGTTAAATACCTTCAATGATGTGGCAAGATACAAGATCAACTCAAAAAAATCAGTAGCCCTCCTATACACAAAGGATAAGAAGTAGAGAGGGAAATCAGAGAAACATCACCTTTCACAAGAGCCACAAATAGCATAAAGTATCTTGGGGTAACACTAACCAAAGAAGTAAAAGATCTATTTGACAAGAACTTTAAGTCTTTGAAGAAAGAAATTGAAGAGGATACCAGAAAATGGATGGATCGCCCATGCTCTTGGATTAGTAGGATCAACATAGTAAAAATGGCAGTTCTAACAAAGGCAATCTATAGATTCAATGCAATCCCCATCAAAATCCCATCAGAATTCTTCACAGACCTTGAGAGAACAATAATCAACTTTATATGGAAAAACAAGAAAACTCAGGATAGACAAAACAATCCTATACAATAAGGAACTTCCAGAGGCACTACCATCCCTGATTTCAAACTCTATTATAGAGCTACAGTAATGAAAATAGCTTGGTATTGGC